AGCTTCAACCATGCACATATAAATAGGTGTCTGTAAGAGAAAGGCACTCTGGAAAAAATTCCCATGCTTACCAAATAGAAAAGTCAATACTCAAACATTCCTAAATCCATTTCTTGAATGGTAAACATTTCTTTCTTTTTTCTTCTTCTTCTTCTCAGCTTTATTTGAATAGTAAATATTTCTTGATTGGTTTTTAATGTGCCAAACTGGTAACAAGATACATGCGGGCTTACAAATTAACCTTGAGGAGATAGGATAAGTTAACAGATCATCATGATGCTCAGTTATATGCACTAACTAGGGTAAGTTTGGTGCGATGTAAGTACAGAAGAGATTCCCTAATAAAATCCTCAGAGATTGGAGCATACTCCCTAGAGAATATGACAGTTAGGTCAATGTGGACAAATAGCAGCTGTCTGATTAACATAAAAGAGGAAAGGAAAGAATTTACCAGACCGGGGATGGGGGGAAGGAGTAAAACACCTCAAAAGACTAGAATTGAGGTGTCAGCAGGGCTGTGTTTCCTTCGGGAAGCTCTAGGGGAGAGTTTGTTTTCAGGTTCACCGCTTGTTGGCTGAATTCAGTTCCATTCAGTTGTGGAACTGAGGTGCCATTTTTTTTGATTGCTGTCAACTGGAGGCCACCCTTAGATCCTACAGGCCTTTCTCTAGTCCTTGCATGTGGTCGCCTACATGTCAGAACCAGCAAAGTTAAGAGAAATCCTTCTCACAGCTGCCCAATTCTCCACCTGCTCTTCTACAGCATCTCTCTGACTGGCTCTCCTGCCTTCCTCTACTATTTACCTTGAAGTGCTTGTGTGCTTACTGATACTTCATGATAATCATTCTATTTCAAGGTCAGCTGATTAGTAATCTTAATTCTACTTATAGAACCCCTCCTCAGAGGATAGGCATCTTGGGGGATAGCTACAGGATCCTGCCTACCATCATGTTTAAAAGGACTCATTCAGGGAAGAAGGTATTAACAAATGACATATCAGGAAAAGGGCTAGTACCAAAATCTATAAAGAACTTTTCCAACTCAACACCCCAAAAAACAAATAATCCAGTCAAGAAATGGGCAGAAGACATGAACAGACATTTCTCCAAAGAAGACATACAAACAGCCAACAGACACATGAAAAAAATGATCAACATCACTCGGCATCAGGGAAATACCAATAGAAACCACAATGAGATTCCAGCTCATGCCAGTCAGAATGGCTAAAATTAATAACTCAGGAAACAACAAATGTTGATGAGGATGTGGAAAAAGGGCAACACTTTTGCACTGTTGGTGGGAATACAAACTGGTGCAACCACTCTGAAACACAATAATAGAAGTTTCTTGAAAAGTTAAAAATAGAACTACCCCATGACCCAGCAATTGAACTACTGGGTATTTATCCAAAGGATATAAACATAGTGATTCAAGGGAGCACCTGCACCCCAATGTTTATAGCAGCAATGTCCACAATACCCAAAATATAGAAAGAGCCTAGACATCCATCAACAGATGAACAAATAAAGAATATATATATATATATATATATATATATTCATCAACAGATGAATAGATAAGGAAGATATATATATGTATATATGTATATATATATAACGGAATATTATTCAGCCATCAAAAGAAAGAAATCTTGCCATTTGCAATGATGTGGGTGGAATTAGAGGGTATTAAGCTAAGCAAAATAAGCCAGTCAGAGAAAGACAAATACCATATGATTTCACTCATGTGGAATTTAAGAAAAAAACAGATGAACACAGGGGAAGGGAAGGAAAAATAAAATAAGATAAAAATCAAGAGGGAAGCAAATCATAAGAGACTCAACTATAGGAAACAAACTGAGGGGTTCGGGGGGGATTTGGGGGGGTAGGATAATTGGGTGATGGACAGAAGAAGGGTACTTTTTGTGATGAGCACCAGGTGTTATATGCAAGTGTAAGTCACTAAATTCTACCCCTGAAACTAATAATACAGTATTTGTTAAGAACAGATTCCTGGCATGATGAAAGCTGTGCTATCTAGTGGTTGGTCAGGCTGGTGAGTCTGAATATCTTTGAAAATCCTGGATTCCAGCAGCATTAATGAGACCACATCACATTCTGCCCCAGAGTTCCCTCCTAAGTACCCCCAGAACCCTATCTCAGTCCTTTTGCCACACTAGAGCTTCAAGGGATCTAACCACCAGCTATAAAAATGCAAAATACTAAGCAAATCACCAAACAAAAAAGGTGGGCAGCTAATTTTCTGAGAACCTAATATGATACAGTTAGCATGCTCTCGTTTCTGGATCAGAAAGGTGACTGATCTGAGGGTGGGGCTCTCGTTTCCTTTCTGATACATCGGGAACTCACCCAAACAGAAGGAGTCTGGGTGCTGAGAAAAGAAGAAAACCCAATGTGTGCACTCAGCTTTGTTATTAACTGGAATGATGCTTTCAAGACAGCGTTGCTTTAAGAACCACCCATTTAATTTCTTAGACTTTGAAAACCTTCTGGTTTTCAGAGTAATTGCCTGACACAGAACACCTAGGAGACGAATTGAAATAAAAAGCCTTTTACTGAGTGGCAAAAAAGAAAGTATTAAATGCTTGATTAGAAGTTCTGTATCACTAATACTGAATGCAAAAACAAACAAACAAAAGCCAGGTGAATCCTATCTCACATCATGTCTTCTCTGTCATTAGAAAACATGCAGATTCTCACTCTACACTGGGCATCCCAAAGTGGCTTTGAAATTCCATTTTCCTTGCTGGAAACAAGGAAAGGTAATGGATTCCTGTGTTCTGTTGAGTATTTTCTCACTGACATCACTTCCTTAAGACACTCCTTTATGATGTTTCAGCTTATTCCTGGGTTCTGTCCTTTCCACCATTAAAACCTTAGGTAACCCTCTGAGCTTCAGATTTCCCAACTATGATATGGAAATGCAAACATTCATTTCTTGGATATTTAAAATAAATAAAACACAGACAGTTATCTGGCAAAGAGTAGATGCTCAAACATTAAATCTCTTATCCCTATTCTCCTGTCTCTTTATGTTCTAGTTAACCTCTGGCTTGTGCTTACAAGAACATCACAAGCAGATTATAAATCCTCTAAAAGCAAGAACTGTACTGATGAGAACCCATGAAAAGATTCTTTGACTGGCCTTTAGGAGCTCTAGGCCCAGGAGTGCAAAGGTGACCTGGATTAACCCAACTGCCCTCTCTGTGTTGCAATTTCTACAGGTTTAAGAGGTTCTTTAAGCATATAGATTGCTCACCTCTAAAATGTTAGGTCAACACCTATTTTTCACCTCTTTAAAGACCCTGTCCAGCAGGAAGTAGGCATTCAATTACTGCTTGCTGACTACTAGCTGAATGAATATCCTCAAAATGGTAGACTTAGATGCTTGGGTAGTGATGAGACTAGATTCAAGGCAAATTATTAATTTTAACCAAATGTTTCTAAGAGAATTTGGAAACAAAATATTTCCACTTGAGAGTTAGAAGACAATAAATGGTGGCCAATGGGCAATCTTCTCTTAAAGTAGATTTGGATATGGCCCCGTAACTCTGGCTTCTTTCTGCTCTCAGTGATGTTATTAATTTATTTTGCACTCTGGAGTTGGATTGCTACTCATCATGGGGAATCACTATGAGGACACAATGGAGAATTCCTAAAGGTTATGAAATCATACAAAGTTCTTATAGATCATGATCTCACATAAACTTCTGAGGTGGTAACTAGCACACCTGGTACATTTTCTTGGTTGTTTTGTTTTTAAATTTCTTGACTTTATATCACTGGCACCCAATGCTGGAATTTCAAGAACCAGTTAAATTGCAAAATTAAATGAGAATGATGTTGATCTGCCTCAGCATTTTGAGATGGATAGATAGATGATTATGAAAATTGGCAGGTAGGTACATAGGTTGGTAGGTAGATAGAGATGATATAATTTCAGAATATGTACCTTTCAAATGAAGCAAAAATCATTTTGAGGAAAAAGTCACTACCTTGCTCTTACTTTTATGGTCTCACCACAAAAGATGGAAACTTTCAAGAAGATTCAGTACTCTATGGAGCCAAACATTATTCCTTTCTGAGACACTTTTTCAGTGATCATATAGACCCAGCTCTACACAGACACTTCATCTCACTTCCAAATTGTTTAATTTCTTTACCAAAGCAAAAGTTTGGCAAATTATTTAATTTAACCTCATTCTTCTTTGTCATTAGAACAAATCTAAATGTCTCAGCTGACAAACACCACGTTAGAAACACCCTGATCCTGATAAATGATTTCTTTAAATGTCTTAAAAGTATTATTAGCATAGATGGTTGTTTAATTCTGAACTCCCACTCTCCTGAGAGCCATGAGGGTGGGAACCACGATCCAGATTGGGAGGGAAATATGCCCTCAGGCAGGGTGTAAGATTAGTATGCAGAACCCATACTTGTGACTGTGACCATGAATTTTTAAAGTCCTTTTCCTATTTTTTCTATTTTTCCATTTTCAGTTTCCCAAAGGAGAGCTCAATTATTCACTGTTACAAAAATGGCCATTGATTATCTTAAAAATCCAGGTGAGAAAAAAAAAAGGCAACAATACTAACTGCTCAACTGGTTAAATAGTCAGCTTTTAATTAATAGATATAATTGTTTTTCACACCTTACTAAATAACATGAAAAACAGAAAAGAAACAGTATTATCGGTGGTTTTTAATCGTTTCTATAAGTCTCAGTCATAAAGTAATTACTCAAACAAATGAAGGAAGACAGCATAATCCATAGCTGCACTAAATATCTATTGAAAGAATTATGTCTCATTTTAAGATAAAGTACATAAATGATATACAATTCAAGTAAAGTACCTTTTTTATGCACTTTACCACTTCATGAAAAACAAATCACAAATAATTCTATTTAATGATTAGGTGGTATATGCAAAATAATGCACCATTACTATTTCTAATATCTCTAGCATTAGGATGGATTACAGTGCTCGCTTCAGCAGCACATATACTAAAAAATTGGAACGATACAGAGAAGATTAGCATGGGCCCTGCCCAAGGATGACACGCAAATTCACGAAGCATTCCGTATTTTTGCTCTATGTTGGCAAATCGAACTCCAATTAAAAAATATATACAAAAGAAGGATGGATTACATTTGTTATATTCATAATATTGTTATTAAATACAAGTATAGCTCATTTTATAAAGCACTTTTTCAGTGCAAAACACTTTTTTGCAGCATGACTGAAGTTAATCCACACCACCTTAGTGTTAGAGTCTCTTCATTTCTTTATTAAGAAACTGAGAACAAAACAGTTTAAAGACCTGTTAATCAGCTAGTAACTAGAAGACCTGCCTAGGAATTAAGTTCCTGTCTGCATGATTCCAAAACCCAGGTTTCTAGTCCCTCCCACACTACCCCCAGCTGAGGTTCAAAGACAACACCCTGAGGGGCACCTAGGTGGCTCAGTCTGTCTTCAGTTCTGGTGATGATCCCAGGTTCCTGGGATTGAGCCCTCCCCCACTGGGCTCCCTGAAGGGGACTGCCTCTCCCTCTCCCCCTCCCCCTTATTTCTCATGCTAGGACTCTAGCTCGCTCTCTCTTTCTTTCTCTCTCTCTCTTTCAGGTAAGTAAATAATTAAACACACACACACACACACACACACTTGATATGATTCAATGCTCAATGAGATGACAGATGTTTCTCAATATGTTCTAGCCTGAAGTGGAATGTGGGGGTAGGATTCCATTCCATAATCCTTAGCCTCGGTCTCTGGTTCTCCTTTTTTAGGCATCAACCCACAAGACCTGAGGCCCATTCTGAAATGTCTCATTGACCAGTGTCCCTGCTTCTATATCCCAATTCCTTTTCCTCTACTTTACTAGTGGAGAAAAGCCTTAATATTGCTTTGTCTGTTACTATTAAAGTACCATTAAAATACCACTCAGCTTCTTATTTTCTCAATAGTCTAGCAAGACAGATTAGCCAGACAGCTCATCTGATTACCCCAGGACAAGGAAGGGCATGCATGAAATGGAGGAAACCCAAGAGTTCTACCTTATGTAAACATTTTTCTTAATATTCCTAAAATGAGTCCCTATTCCTTCACCTCTTCCCTTTCACAATAAGTGGAATTGTTAAATAAGTGTTTCACAATAAGTGACGGTAAGTGTTTTAATTATTTCATCCATAAAGGTCACTCTGATATTATGGAAAAAAGATGGCCTCTGGAATCAGACTTACTTGGGTTTTATTTTAAGATTGATTGATTGATTGATGATTGATTGATTGATTTAGAGAGTGCACATGTGCGAGCAGGGGGAGGGAGAGAGAGTCTCAAGCAGATTTCACGCTGAATGTGTGGCCCTATGTGCAGGGCTTGATCTCACCACCATGAGATCATGACCTGAGCTAAAATCAAGAGTTGGACACTTAACTGGCTCAGCCACCTAGGCACCACTAGACCTGAGCTATAAAGCCGGTTCTATATTTGAACAATTTTGGCCACACCATTAACTCCTTGGAGTCTCAAATTTCATGTGTGCAAACCTCTACAAAGAGACATTTTGAGGATCAAGGGAACAATTATGTATAAGAACCTGGTACATCAAATAATTAACATTTGCTTATTACATTCCCTCTCCCTCTTCTGGGGATGTAATAAAAAAAAAAAGCACATGCTTACCATCTGTAATATCTCAAAATACAATAAAGGAGAGAGAAACCTAGAGACAAATCAGTAAAAAACAAACAAACAAAAAAAAAAAAAAAACAATGCTAAATAGGCCAGCAACTCATCTGCCTCTGTTTCTTTCCTTTGTTCCTTTCCATGAACAAATCCAGTAATCCATACATTCAAAAAACTATAAGACAAGAGTTCCAGAAAGTGGAGGAAATAAGTGCAAGGTCCCAGAGTTGGAAATATCTGATAAATTCAAAGATTAGGAAAGAAATTAATATAGCTGCAATGTAGTGAACCTGAGGAGTGGAATGAAATGGCATGACAACCAGGCAAGCACTAGACTATGGAAAGTCTGATACAGTCCCTTCTCTCACATTGAACTAGTCATTTCCTCAGAACAAGATGGCTTTACATTTTACAGAACTACATGATATGAATTTTCCTTTATTTCTGGATGATTCTGTTGAATTTCATCTTTAGGGGACATTTTGAAGGCTCGGGATGGATCATTCATCCTCGGTTCTCAAGCATAACACATGATTCTATGCCTCCTGGTAAAGTCCCTGGGGGAATAAATTTAAGTAATCCATTTTGGATTTCTGACCTCCAGAATCTAAGATAATAAATTTGTGTTGTTTTAAGCTAACAAGTTTGTAGTAATTTGTCACAACAGCCATAGGAAATTATACTACAGATGATAATAATTCCTTCCATTTGCCAATCATTTGGCACCACTTTCATATACATTTGTGTTTTTGTACCCTTCCTCTGAGTTCAGCAAAACTTTTATGATTTCCATTTTTCAGCCAAGGAAACCTAGCTTTAGAGAATGAACAGATGTGTCCACAGGCCGACAATGAGTTAGGGCTATACAGCATATCTGAGTCCTACCCAAACACCTCTTCACCATAGCACACACACACTGTAATAACAGGTCCCATGTTACCAATCCTTGTATCAAGACTTCCTTTTATTGCCTAGTTAACCTCTCAAGTTATGAAATGGTAGAAATGGACATCCTGGTCCTACTATTCTGGAAGTTAGTCTTTGCAGGCATATCATGATTTATAGGCTTTAAGGATATGCTTTCACAACCTTTGGTATGGACTGAATGCTTATGGCCTCAAAATGTATAGGCTGAAGCCCTAACTCCCAATATGATGGTATTAGAAGGTGGAGCCTTTGGGAGATAATCAGATTTAGATGAAGTCATCACAGTCAGGGCCTCATGATGGGATTAGGGTCCTTAACAGAAGAGGAAGTGACACCAGAGCTCAACTTTCTTTGACTGGAGACAACTGCTCCAAGAGATGGAGGTGTTCTTCACGGCATCACTTCGTCCTCAGTAGACAGAGGGCAACTGATTGATCACCACACAACTGACGCTGGGGCAACACTTTACATGACACTTTCAAGATGGAACAAACACAAGCTTGGGTGTTTTATATAGTTCATTTCATCTACTCTTCACTACCATCCGGTGAGGCACTGCTCCAGGAGTGCTAGAATGATTGATCAAGCAATCAACTGATTGATTTTACTATTCTCATTACTTTAAGACACATAACTTTTTGAAAACATCAAATTCTTAGCTGCCTTTGTATATCCGTGGCTTCCTCATCAGTATTAGCCATTTTTGTGAGTTCGTTATCTTACCTGCTTCGGCCTTTATAGTTAAGAGTCGGGGGAATGGCAGGGATACCTCACAGTTACATTTTTACATGAGAATGGATCTGATTTCTGACATCAGTGAACAAACCCATTTGTCTATTCCTGCATTTCAGTACTAGAAATCCATCATAGTTATCTGCCTGCTGTTGGTTCACCCCACTCATGACTTCTTATTGAAAAATGCGTCCTAACTTCCAGCAAAGTCCTCACTACATTTGTAGTTTGCAGGTATCTAAAAAGCTTGCATTTTTAATGAATTCCTAATGTACTCACTCAAGCAAACAAGAAAATTATAACCATGGAACATTACATTTCAGACATTAATCATAATTACTTAATAATACCAAACAAGGAGATTTTATTACCAACTGAGACTTCTTATTTAACATCAGAATCAGAATAATTGTCACATTTGCACATATTCTAAATGATACCACGTATTTCCAAATGCCTACATTAAACAGTTTAGTCATAAAGAGATATTTTGTCAGCTAATTTAATTTAATTGCATGGCATAATCATTTCACCTATTTCCCTAAAAACAGGTATTTTAATAAGAGAAATGCAAGGAGGTTATAAAAATCTCACTTTCTCAATTGCTGGGAAAGGTCTGTGCTGAAAGTTACCAGACAATCACCAGTTCGGGGTGTTTCCATAGTTCTTCAATACATTTGTTACATACCATTAGTCACCAGGTGAAGCCCTTCACTAACAGCAATACCCTCCAGTAGTGGCCCCAGAGGATTTAACACTGATTGATGGCGGGTCACCTGGAATTGGTTGCCAGAATTTCCAATTTTCTGTTGGGAAATTGCTTATTTCTCCAAGTCTATTCCCATTTTTACAAGTGGACAGAAGCTGAGATTATACATTATTATGTGTCTAAATATAAAATTGTGATGGATGGTGTCACACATTTAAAGAGAGTTAAGCATTTAATTTAAGATTTTAAAAGTTTAAAGAAGTTTAAAATGTATTTTCAATCTTTCTTGGGAATTCATATGCTGATCCATATTGGGAGAAATAGAGAGATTGCCTGAGGATTGCCACTTACATGGAGAATTATTTTCATAAAATTACCCTTTTAGATTCTCAAAGCAGTAGCGCCATAACTTTCTTGTAAATATATCTGAGGGCCCCAGGCTCAACAAAGGACCGAAGGGATGAATAGGTTCTTTTCACGGGGGGGACTATACTAACCGTGACAAAGAAGAGAGGAAAGCAAACAAAACTCAAAAGCCACATTAGAAACAGAAGGCAAAGTTTGTTATTTAAATTAAATTGTTATTGTTTAGACAAATATATTAGGTGTCCATCTTATTTTTATTTTTAAAGTAAACTCTACGCCCAATGTGGGGCTTGAGCTCACAACCCAGAGATCACGAGTCCCGTGATCTACTGGCAGAGCCAGTCAGGTACCCCTTAACCGTCAATTTTAAAAGTGTGTGTTTAGGATGCTAAAATACTCTATAACACTGTAATAGTACTCTGCACATATTTTTGCACACAGGAATTCTATTGAATTCTTGAATTAAGCATTAAATACCTGGCTACCTATATAAAGATATTAGAGGCAACAGGTAACAATCCAATGACAAGTTTGAAATTTAGTCAATATGGGTCACTCTGGAGAAACAACCCGGCAAAACCCTCAAAATCCTTAATGCTCAACATTATTATTTAATCTATCTGGGGGCTAAAAGTGCCTTTATGACTTTAGATTCTTTTATACAACAAA